TGAAACAACTAAATTATCAAAAATAAATAAATTATATATATATATATATATATATATATATATATATATATATATATATGAGAAACCTTCAAGAAATAGTTAAAATCAATGTTAAACAGTCGTTGTGGCAGCTCAGCCAGCACCACCCTTTTCCCGTATTCCATTGGCAGTGAGTGTATATAGGGGGCCCAGGTGGGGACACTAATGTGCAATAGAATATCCCTACAGTGGTACCTCGTGTTACATACTTAATCCATTCCAGAGGTCCATTTGTAACCCAAAACCACTGGTAACATGAGGCGTGCTTTCTCTAATGGCGCCTCCCGCTGCTGCCATGCCTCCGGAGCATGATTTCCAGGTTAGCGGAGCATGTATCCTGCAGCATTCGTAAGGGGGATGGTACGTAACACAATATACCACTGTATTTTCATCTAAGGAATGTTAGAGGGTGTGGCATTGTAATGGAAACTGAGGAAGAAACCAGAGGCCTCACCTCGCTTCATGGAAGCCATCATACTGTAAATGGCAGCTGGGTTTCTCCCTATCTGTTGACTGTTCGGATGGAAAACAATTGCAATTCATTGTGTTTATTCAGTGAGTGAACTATACTGTGTTGGAATGAGACAAAACCATACATAGGGAAGACCCATTGAAATCACTGGGACTTAAAATGAAGGAACTGGTATGATTCCCATTTGCATGGAATCACTTCTTTGGTGTGGCAACACCTGTACTCCCTGCCTATCAATGTTAGGCAGGCATCACCAATGTGCTCTTTTAGACACCTGAAAATTTTCATTTTGGTGGACCTACACAGAAACATGACACAGTTACGTACGTTCTTAAATTAGGTTCAGATGCTTTCATTGGTTTTTATTATTATATTAAAAAAACCACAGCTTTGAGATATATTTTTAGTGCATATTTGATTGTATATTTTTTTAAAAATCAAAGAAGCGTTTGCCACCCTTTGGGATATAAAATATGCAAATAAGATAGCAGGCAGAGGACACAGCATTGGCTGCCCTTTCTGTAATAAGTCTTTTGCCATGACCTCCTGGTTTGGCTCCAAATGCACCTTAATGTTTGAAGTAACCGTTATGCGTGTCAAAAGCCAAAACCTCAGGGAGACAACTGTCACGGCTAAGGGCAAAAGAGAAAGCTGCATTTCATTCAGTGTGCGGAGCTTTGAATGTGCAAGAACTTAATTGCAGACTTAACTCCACCAGTCCCCCGCCTCTTCTGCGCAGCTTCCCCACAGCACAAAACATTCATTATTAGATTTTCTTTTACCACCAAGACATTCAGAACACTATTTTATTTTCCCTCCTTAGCAATCGTCAGTTACTGGTGTTAAAACCACCAGCATCCCCACCCCACCCAAAACAACAACAACAACCTAGGCTGAGGTTTTTACTTCATTTTACATTAATGGCCAACAACCCCCCCCCTTTTCTGCTGAAAACTCTCCCCCACCTCCTTTTCTCATTAAGCCACAGGTTCCACCAGACATAGAAGATCAGGGGGTGAGAAGAGAGAAGGCAAGGGAAATAAAAACACAGAGAGAAAAGTCCTGCAGAGCACAATGACAAGGTCAGGCTGATAGCTGGTGATTTGAAGGAACAGAATATCTGTCTTAGACAACAAAGTCAGTGTGGCTTGGAGGGGAGGGGTGGTAGCTTCTCATCAGGCTGGGGGACAAAGGCAGTCTTCACAGTTTATATTGCCCTCTCTCTCTCTCTCTCTCTCTCTCTCTCTCTCTCGCTCTCTCTTGCTATTTCTCTAGAAAAAGAGGTGCCGGAACTCACCATGAATGCCTTCCTTGTTCTTTTATAATGGCAATAGCGCTCACCTGAGAGGTGCCAGAAATGCGTTCCGGTGAGTTCTGGCTGAAAAAAGCCCTGATATATTTCCAAGAAATATACCGTAAGGACATTGGAAGAGCCTGCTGGATCAAGCCAACTTCCCATCTAGTCCAGCATTATGTTCTCACAGATGGCCAACCAGATGCCTGTGGGAAACCAACAAACAGTACCTTAGTGCAACAGCACTCTCAACACCTATGGTTTCCAGCAACCAGCATTCAGAACATCGCTGCCTCTGGCCAAGAGTGTACCTTGCCGATTTGCTAGAGGAATCTGGGTGCTGGTGTGGGTTGTCATAGCAGCCCCGAAGAGCCCCCTCCCAAGTTGGCGACAGTGCTGGTGGATAGTTTGTGCAGCAGAGCTCCCTATAACAACCCCACTTCTTTGTCTTTCCTCCTGCTCCCCACCCTCTGCTCCTCCTGCTCATCCCCAAGAGCAGCCTTTCATCAGATGTGGTGACTGATGAACATCAGGCGAGGCTCTTAATTTAGCACAGCCAAGTCACATTTCCCTGGTTGCTTTCTTACCATGACCAATTTCCAGTGCACATACCTCTGCATGTTTACCCCAGACAGCAAGGGCCTTAAGCGGCACTTACTTTCAAGTAAAGTGTGCACTGGGGTGCCACCTCCAAGTTAGTGCTTTTCTACCAGCGCCTTGTCAGAAGTAACAAAAAGGAAAGTGAGATATTGTCAGAAGTTATTCCCTCTGTCTTCCAGATTTGGTATACCAGTCTGGTGTACCAACATTATGGGAGTACAGCCCATTGAACTTGAGATATACTTTTGAGTAGACATTTATAGGATTGTGCTGTTATATCCTATAAGAATCATTTGTGATGGTTGAATTACGTCAGGTTTTCCCCCCTGGAGATTGGGGGTGGGGATTGCTGATACATCTCCTTGCCAAGGGCACAAGGGAGCCTAGGTACACCTTTGCCTCTGACTGTGCAGACAAAGCATAGCCATCTAAGCTAGTGGCCCTTTATGCCCCTATCCCCCATGAATTTGTCAAATTCTCTTTGAAAGCCATCTAGGTTGGTTGCCATCACTGCCTCCTGTAGGACAAGTTACATAGTTTATGCGCTGCATGAAGAAATACTTTTTATCTGTCCTGGGGGTGTCCAGGAGCTCTAGTGTTATCAAGGAGAAAAATTGTTCTCTATTCACTTTCCCTGTGCCATGCATAATTTCATGAGCTTCTATCATGTCACTTCTTACTCTTCTTTTTGCTAAACTAAGAAGTCACAAATGCTGCTGTCTTTCCTCATGGGAGAGTCACTCCAATGATCAATTTTGTTGCCATTTCCTGAACCTTTTCTTACTTGCCAAAACCATTTCTGAGGTAAGAACCATGCACAGTATTCCTAATGCAGTTGCACTGTTGATTTGCCTAACAGTGTTACGATATCTGCAGATATTAAATTATCTTTTGTGAGCTGTAGCAAGGAAGTGGACTGGATGAGGGCCAAAAATATGTGCTTTAATCCTAGGAAGATGGAGGCTCTTTGGGTGGGTGACTCCCATGTTTGATATATTGGCAAGTTCTGGATGGGGTTACAAAGTCCTAAGCAACTTGGGTTCAGGATATCTCAGGGATAGCCCAAACCCTTATATCCCAGCTCAATCACTGAAATCATCTGCAGGAGCGTCATTGATTGTTCCCCAAGTTACTGAGGCTTGTTTGCCAATGAGAAACCAAGCTTTTTCAAGGGGGGCCACTAGGGGCGCATCGGAAGATGGCTGACAATAACATCTCTCCGACCCACACGAGGTAATTAAGAGGCTGTGATGGGAGTAAACAGCCTCCCTGCCCCCCCCAAGCCTGTGGGGGGGACTGCCCTTGCCTGCTGTGCTCTATACCACCCCCGAATTTGTGGGGGTGGGGGCACTAGGCAGAAAGCCCTCCTGTGGATCTTGGTGCTCCTGGATGCTGTCTCTGGTCCACGCCCCCTAGCTGCAGTAACTTCAAAAGAAACAATTAGGAGGAAGCGAATGCACATATTTCAAGGAAGAAGGGGGAGTAAAGACTGCTAACCAAAGAGATCTCTCATAAATAAGACGGGTCGGAGGGACAAGAATAAATCATGAGAAGACACACCAAGGCTCGGTATGTTCGGCAAGGACTGGATGGGGGAGGGGGAAAAACTTTCCTTTCTTTTCTCTATGTGATTAACCAAGAATCCCCCCCCCCCCACAAGTCACAAGTCAGAAATGCTGTTTAAATGACTTAAGCTGTGGATTTAATACTGTGTGGAGATAATTTTCTAACCAAAGCATATTTTAAGAAGATCGTGGAAAGTATAAGAGCTTTGGAATGACGCAGTAAAAAATACCGTTGCCATTTTGGCAAGTTCTGTCGGAAGACTTAAGCCTGGGAGGAGGAACAGAGTTGTTTTTATATGGTGGGTGAGCCTCCTCAAGGGGGCTTAAGAGCGACAGATTTCCGAGATTAATGATGGAAAGAGTGATGTTATTTATGAAAGCGATGATATATGGAAACCATCTTGATATGAGGATTGGACGAACGGAAAATTCACACAGGGTTATAATTGGTGCTTACCTACTTAAGGAGATTATCAGAAGAGATCATAAAGGAAAAAAGAAAAATATACGAACAAGATGAGATGTGGAAACAGCAAGATAAGACTGGATAGAATTATGAACATTATTTGGACAGAATTGTGGATATTAACGCAGTAGCAAGAAGATGATCGGAATCCCCCCTCGGAACTTGAAATATGGGTCCCCTCAACAAAATTTAAAATTCGGCTTTGTAATTCGGAATTTATGTGATGTGATTTGATTTGATTGGTCGGTTAATAATTATTATTTTTTTTTAAAAAAAGACAATGAGAAACCAAGCTTTTTTGTGTCATTGGCCCAATCCTGTGGAATACTTTGCCAATAAAATCATAGAATTGTAGAACTGCAGTAGTGGAAGGGATCACAAGGATCCTCTAGTCCAGGCATCCCCAAACTCGGCCCTCCAGATGTTTTGGTACTGCAACTCCCAACATCCCTAGCTAACAGGTCCAGTGGTCAGGAACTGTGGGAATTGTAGTCCCAAAACAGTCGGAGGGCCAAGTTTGGGGGTGCCTGCTCTAGTCCAATCCCCTGCAATGCAGGAATCCTTTGCCCAATGTTGAGCTTGAAACCAAGACCCTGAGATTAAGATTCTCATGTTTTACTGACTGAGCTATCTGGGTTCAGCTGGTGCCTTCTGTGCCAACTATGAAATGGCTCCTGAAAACTTAAATCCTTCCACAATGGTTAATTCATGTCTGGTTTTAACTTTTTATGGTTTTATTGTATGGTTCTATGGTCTTATTGCTATGAACTGCTTCAATTTCTTTTATGATGTAGCAGTTTAAATACACACACACACACACACACACACACACACACACACACGAATCTTGATCCCTGATTGACTTGATCATGTCACCAACCAGAATAATTCACTTTTTAAAGTAAAAGTGTGAGAGGGACAGGGAACATATGTCAATGGCAGGGATTCAAGGCACATCCTTACCATTCACTTTCCCACACATTTTCCTCCCATACATGCCCCCACCTAAATTTGTCTACAGTGATAGTTTACAGTACAGTGATGATGAGAGAGGCACACATGGTTGTATCCAACCAAGTTATACTCAACATAGGCCTAATAGAATTAGTGGGCCTAATTTAGCCATGACTATTATATTGAATGGCTGTACTCTGAGTAGGACTAACAATGGCAACTACTCACAGCTTGTTTACTGACATTTGCAATAAGACCTGATCCACCAATATATGCAGACGACATCATCCAGAGTAGTGTGGGAAGAACCACAGAAATTGCAACTGTCTCACTCCATGTGTAAACCAACTTAGATCTGCATTGATCCTGGCCAGCCATACACCATGACAACACATTACCAGCCTGTGCTCTCTGATAGTCCACTATGCTAATCTAAGGGGTGTGCATGTATTTCTGTTTTAAATAGAGACTTCAGGGCTTTTTTAATGGTAAAGAAAGCCTCTTTCAGTTTTCAGGGTATAAGCTCAGTCTGAAATCTGAGTTGAAATATGTGACTCTTGAATTATGAATGCATGAATATTCTACAATAAATTAACTGTGGGGAAACTCAACTGTTGAGATGTGGCATGCTTATGAGCCTATGACAAGCTTAATTAACATCAGTGGAGTACATGAAAGAAGCAAGAATTGGGTCAGAGAAGGAAAGCAGTTAGAAAACTGTCCCACCACCACCACTTCATGCCACTGGCTTTGCATATTCCCAACCAGATGCCCTTGGAAATAGGAGGTTGCCTGCATTTAAATTGCTACCACTTGTGTAATCAGGATACATAGGTGCTAGGACAGCTTTATGGACTGAGCCTGCCCAAAGCATTTACTACCTGAAGCAAGGAATGAGAGGTGTAGTGGTCTGGAGTCACAGGGAGTTATTATTTCTGCAACAGGGTCCCAGTCTCCAGCATCCCAGAGCATCCAGCTCCATAAACAGGGAACTTCTTAGCAGTCAAAAAGAAGTCTTCTCATGTTTTGTGATGATTGGAGCCAATTAGAGTGAAAGGAGGTGAATCATTGCCTGATGATTGGATCCCACGGTCATGCTGCAGAAAGTACACTGAAGAGTTGTTCTGTATGCTGCAAAGCTAAGGCTTTAGGAATGCTGAAAATACAAGGTGCATCACTTTCAAGAGAATGGTTTAAGGTCTGTTACGTACATTGGAACTTCAAGGAAAACACAACTTCAGTCATTCCAAAAGAATCAATTGGAGCACTCCAAATAGGAGAGCTGCATTAATCTTTGCAATGCATCTGTTAAGCATTAAAAGATTATTGTATAATCTTGGAAGGTTTTATAATCTAAGAGGTGGGCATGGTTCTGATGGATCATGAAGCAACCCTGTGCTTCTAGAATCATAGAATCATAGAATCATAGAGTTGGAAGAGACCACAAGGGCCATCGAGTCCAACCTCCTGCCAAGCAGGAAACACCATCAGAGCACTCCTGACATATGGTTGTCAAGCCTCTGCTTAAAGACCTCCAAAGAAGGAGACTCCACCACACTCCTTGGCAGCAAATTCCACTGTCGAACAGCTCTTACTGTCAGGAAGTTCTTCCTAATGTTGAGGTGGAATCTTCTTTCTTGTAGTTTGGATCCATTGCTCCGTGTCCGCTTCTCTGGAGCAGCAGAAAACAACCTTTCTCCCTCCTCTATGTGACATCCTTTTATATATTTGAACATGGCTATCATATCACCCCTTAACCTCCTCTTCTCCAGGCTAAACATGCCCAGCTCCCTTAGCCGTTCCTCATAAGGCATCGTTTCCAGGCCTTTGACCATTTTGGTTGCCCTCCTCTGGACACGTTCTAGTTTGTCAGTGTCCTTCTTGAACTGTGGTGCCCAGAACTGGACACAGTACTCCAGGTGAGGTCTGACCAGAGCAGAATACAGTGGCACTATTACTTCCCTTGATCTAGATGCTATACTCCTATTGATGCAGCCCAGAATTGCATTGGCTTTTTAGCTGCCGCGTCACACTGTTGGCTCATGTCAAGTTTGTGGTCAACCAAGACTCCTAGATCCTTTTCACATGTACTGCTCTCAAGCCAGGTGTCACCCATCTTGTATTTGTGCCTCTCATTTTTTTTGCCCAAGTGCAATACTTTACATTTCCCCTGTTAAAATTCATCTTGTTTGTTTTGGCCCAGTTCTCTAATCTGTCAAGGTCGTTTTGAAGTGTGATCCTGTCCTCTGGGGTGTTAGCCACCCTCCCAGTTTGGTGTCATCTGCAAATTTGATCAGGATGCCCTTGAGTCCATCATCCAAGTCGTTGATAAAGATGTTGAATAAGACCGGGCCCAAGACAGAACCCTGTGGCACCCCACTAGTCACTCTTCTCCAGGATGAAGAGGAACCATTGATGAGCACCCTTTGGGTTCGGTCAGTCAGCCAGTTACAAATCCACTGAGTGGTAGCATAGTCAAGACGGCATTTTACCAGCTTCTTTACAAGAATATCATGGGGCACCTTGTCAAATGCCTTGCTGAAATCAAGGTAGGCTACATCCACTGCATTCCCTTCATCTACCAGGCTTGTAATTCTGTCAAAAAACGAGATCAGGTTAGTCTGACATGACTTATTTTTCAGAAATCCATGCTGACTATTGGTGATCACAGCATTCCTTTCTAGGTGCTCACAGACTGTTTGCTTAATGATCTGCTCCAGAATCTTCCCTGGTATTGATGTCAGACTAACTGGGCGGTAATTATTTGGGTCCTCTCTTTTCCCCTTTTTGAAAATAGGGACAACATTTGCCCTCCTCCAGTCTGCCGGGACTTCGCCTGTTCTCCAGGAATTCTCAAAGATGACTTCCAGTGGTTCTGAGATCACATCTGCCAGTTCTTTTAATACTCTTGGATGCAGTTCATCTGGCCCTGGAGACTTGAATACATCTAAACTAGCCAAGTATTCTTGTACTATCTCCTTAATTATTCTGGGCTGTGTTTCCTCTGCTGAATCATTTGCTCCAAATTCTTCAGGTCGGGCATTGTTTTCTTTATCGGAGAAGACTGAGGCAAAGAAGGCATTGAGGAGTTCAGCCCTTTCTGTGTCCCCTGTTTGCATTTCACCATCTTCTCCTCTGAGTGACCCCACTGTTTCTTTGTTCTTCCTTTTGCTACTGAACATACCCATAAAAGCCCTTTTGTTGCTTTTAACCTCTCTAGCAAGCCTGAGTTCATTCTGTGCTTTAGCTTTTCTGACTTTGTGTCTATACGTGCTGGCTATTTGTTTGAATTCCTCTTTGGTGGTTTCCCCTTTTCCATTTTTGTACACATCCTTTTTAATCTTAACTCAGTTAAAACTTCTTTAGATAGCCACCCTGGCTTCTTTAGGCACCTTCCATGTTTCCGTCTCATTGGTATTGCCTGAAGTTGTGCTTTACTATCTCCCTCTTAACAAACTCCCAGCCATCATGAACTCCCTTTCCTTTTAGTATTACTGTCCATGGGATCTCACCCAGCACTTCCCTAAATTTTATGAAGTCGGCTTTCTTAAAGTCAAGAAATTGAGTCCTAGTATGCTTGGCTGCTCCTTTCTGCTGTATAGTAAACTTCAGAAGAGCATGATCACTCGTGCCTAATGATCCTTCCACTTCTACCCCACTAACCAGGTCATCAACATTGGTTAGGACGAGATCTAAAATGGCTGTTCCTCTTGTTGCTTCTCCCACTTTCTGGACAATGAAGTTGTCTGCAAGGCCAGTGAGGAATCTGTTTGACCTTATGCTCTTGGCTGAGTTTGACATCCAACAAATATCTGGGTAATTGAAGTTCCCCATTACTACTATCTCCTTCCTTTTGCATGCTTGGCCATCTGTTCCAGGAAGGCATCATCTATGTCCTCCGTTTGGCTTGGGGATCTATAGTAAACTCCCACAATGAGGTCACTGTTATTCTTCTCTCCCTTAATTTTGACCCAAAGGCTCTCACTTTGGCTTTGAGGTTCTAAATCTTGGATCTCTTCACAGGTATACACATCCCTGACATATAACGCCACTCCTCCTCCTTTCTTGTCTGGTCTGTTTCTCTGAAATAGATTGTATCCCTCCATTATTACATTCCAATCGTGGGACTTATCCCACCAGGTTTCAGTGATGCCTATTATGTCATATTTAGTTTGCTGTACCAAGAGCTCAAGCTCATCTTGTTTATTTCCCATGCTTTGCGCATTAGTGTACAGACATTGAAGTCCATTAATCATTCCCCGTGTCTCTTATTTAAGGATTTTTTCCTCCCACCACTAGGTCTGCGTGCTGTTTGCTCCATTTGGTCTATGACATTTGGATGATCATCTTCATCAATTGATAGACTCCTACCTTCAGGAGCACTGTCTCCCTCCCCACAGATTAGTCTGTTTAAAGCCCTCCTGATGAGGTTTCTGAGTTTTTTGGCAAAAACATTCCTCCCAACCGTTGTGAGGTGCAGCCCATCGCTTGCCAGAAGTCCATCTTCAAGAAACTGCAGTCCGTGATCTAAGAATCCAAACTGTTCCTGTTTACACCATTTGTGAAGCCAGCTGTTCACTTCCACTATTTTTCCCTCTCTCCCTGGGCCACGTCGTTCAACTGGGAGGACGGATGAGATGACAATTTGTGCATTTAATTGCTTCAATTTCCTGCCCAGAGCCT